GAGGGGCGGGGACTCCCCGGGAGGGGCGGAACTGCGTCTCCGGCGTCGTTTCCGGGCGAGTGAAAGCCGTGGGTCTGTAGGTGCCGGCTCTGCGACTGGCCTGGGGAGTGCGCGGCTGGCGTCTGCGGGGGCGAGCAGTGCTCCAGGCACGGTTGGGTCTGTCGGGCTAGCGCCTTCCGGTGCCATGTGGCCCTGGGCTCCGCGGGAACGCAAGGTGCTCCCAGTCCTGTAAAGGGATATGGCCTCGCCCTTCTGCAGAGGATTAAGGTCACCCAGAGCGGCATTCATAGCCGGGTCCAATCAATCATACCAGCCGAGGACGGTTGTTGGGCATTGGCCAAAGGTGCGCTGACACAAATGCAGTTTCTCTTTGACTTTTTGAAATACTGAAAACAATCTAGGAACCCACTTTACTTCTTTACGGATCCCAAAAGACCTAGGGTCCTCAAACAGGGATCAGACAGAATCAGGAAGCTCATAGAGGGGCAAGGACCTGTGCAAGGGTCAGGAGTGGCTTCTTGGTGGAGACTGGACCGGAGCCGGCCAGCTAATGCGGGAGCAATCAAAAGTCAGGGAGTTGACCCCCAGCATGGGCAGTCCTTGCTTTAGCAGCCAGCCCTGTGATCAAGGCCTTCTGAGAAATGCGGAGGATGGGCCCTGTCCCAGGAGACAAAAATTAATTAAGTTCCTGGAAGGACCTCACTTTCACAGATTTTGTGGAGTGAGCATGAATCAGCAAAGAAATACTGGAGTGAAAAACACCTCAAGCTCCACGCCTTCAGTATTACAGGGTGGGCACCTAGAAGAGTGTGTGTGTTTGTGTGTGTGTGTGTGTGTTTGGGAGGCCCATATGTTGTTGCACTGAGCTTCTGCCTCACTTATAAAATTGGGATTGTTGGCACATCTGTGCAGTGGCTTGCAAGAGCTGTCACGCTCCATTTTCCTCTAAGTAAATAATGGTCATTTATTGAGCCCTTGCTTTGTGCCTGGGACTGTGCAAACAGGATCCTTTTAACCCTCTCCAAACCCTTTTCTGGTAGGTATCACACTCATTTCATAGATGAGGAGCTGGAGGCTCAGAAAGGTTACTAACTTGCCCGGGAGCGGAGCTGGGAAGGCATTTTATACCTTAAGCAGCTGCTAGGTGGCAGTAGCAGGACTTGACCTCCCGTCTGATTCGCAATCAACTCCTCTTAAGCACTGTCCTACTTTCCTCGGTTTGAGATGCTGACTGGCTCACAGTGGTCTACTCTAAACTCTAGATCTTGGCTAGTTTCCATAATGTCAGTATTCTGGGGTTGTTTTTCTTTTTCTGTTATACACTCAGCTACGGTTTATTACAGCAAAAGGATACAAACTAAAATCAGCCAGGGGAATTGATAGATGGAACAGAATCCTAGAAAATTGAAAAGATGGAGCTTCCAGTTGCCTTCTCCTGGAGTCTTGGATAGCATTAACTTTCCTGGCAACAATGTGTGACAACACGCATGGAGTATTGCCAACCAGGGAGGCTCACCTGCGCCTTGGTGTCCAGAGGTTTTATTGATCACATAGACCCAGTTGGCTGTCCACATGGCTGACCTCAGTCTCCAGCTCCTCAGGAGGCAGAGCTAATACTGTGTGACCTAACGCCCCCACTCTAAATCACATTATTAGACTATCTGCGTGGCCTGAAGCCCCCATGTAAATAAAGACACTTTTATTAGGCAGGACATTCTCCAGACTTCTTTGGGCCAGGTTAGATTCTTTACAAGAAACAAATCTAAATAAAAGTTTAACGGTGCCTCATATCAGTACTGTCATGAAGCTACTGTTTGGTTATAGTAGCTACCATTTAAATATCTTATATATTCTAGGTCATTTACAAGCATTGTTTCCAGTTATTGCAGCAATATTTTAAAGTAGCTGTTAGGATATTTTATAGATGAAATAACTGGGGATATTTTATAGAGATGAAGTATAAACGTGCCCAAAGTCACCAAGATAATAAGTCATAGAGTCATATTTCACAACCAGCCCATACACCAAAGCCTAGCCTCTTTTCATTTCATCACATGGCCTCCTGCAAGGGACTGGAAGTATTCTGTTTTTATTGTTTTGTTACAAGCCGTGCCCTGAAGTATTTATTCCCAGCTCCACTAACTGGGTGGGAAGAACAAGATAACATATCAGTGTGTAGGCTACTTTATAGCCCCTTCTACCAAAATAATAGGAAGTGCGTCATTTTTTTTTTTTGTCCAGCAAACATTGAGGATAACAAAATTGTTTTTTTCAATCTTTGTAACCTCTATGGCTTGAGATTTGAAAGGTGAGCTCATTGCACACTTGGTACAGACACCTGAAAATTGCAAGTGGTCATTTCTTTCAAGTGTCTCAAAAGGGGCCCTCCTATCTCTTTGAGCGGATATATATTTTTTTCTCTCATAACAATACTTTGAAGTAGTTGCCAGTTTGATATTTACAGTCAATAGAGAAGTGGAGAGTAGATGGGAAAGATGAGAAAGAGAAATGAAGAACTTACAACTTCTCCAGATCTTAGAACTTTTCCTACTTAAAACAAACAGCCTGTATGTGTCTGGTTAGGTTTCTGTACCAGTCAATCAGGAGATGTGTGCACCTTCCTATGGGCTGTTTGATGAGCATCTCTGCATATCCAGCTCATGTTCACACCTGACACGATAAAAATTTAATGATGGGCTTTTGGGTGGATAGGAGATGATGAAATCCCCAAGGTTCTATGTATATTTCATGTTTTGTGGCTTTCTGTTTATAAGGGATCCTGGGTTTTGATTCTCAGGGTAGTGGGGTAGGATCCTGATTAAACCATGATGAAAAAAAATTAAGGTCTTATTCGGATGAATGGCTGGCAGTAGTTCAGCTCCTGGGTTGATTAAGTCAGCTGTTTAATGACCATATCAAGCACACATGCTACTCTTGTCTTTCTACTCTGCCATGTTCAGATTGTTCCCCATGGTCTCAAGGTAGCTGCCCAGATTCCAGGACCAGATAGTGTCACACAGCATAAGATCCCATCTCTATGTCTCTCTCTTTTTTTTTTTTTTTTTTTTGGTGAGGAAGACAGCATGGCTTGATGAGTGGTGCATAGGTCCACACCCAGGATCCAAACCCGCAAACCCCAGGCTGCCAAAGCCCAGCACACGAACTTAACCACTATGCCACCGGGTGGGCCCCTTTATGTGTCTGTTTTTATTAGCAAGCCAACCTTTCCCGGAAGTGTCCTGGAGAATTCTCCTCATTTTTTCTTGGCCAGACTGGGTCATGTAGCCACCCTAAATTGCTCCCTGTCAAGGGAAATGGATTACCATTATGAAGGCAAATCAGGATTTACCTTGAGGTGGCTACAGGGTCACCCTCCCATGAGCCCTGTCGGGGAGGGGACTCTGATAGCAGGGGGAGAGCATGCAATGGAGTTGGGGCAGGCACCCAGAATATCTGTTACAGTAGGTGCGTGAGGCAGTGTGAGGAGGGACAAGACAGGGTGACCTGGACGGGATATGTGAGGTGCTTGCCCTGCATGGGGCATGGGAAGTGTGCACTTACCCACACAGACACCTGGGAGCTTCTTAGTGTCTAGATCTGTCTAAATTCTCAGAATTTAGAGCATGGTTATCAAGTCTGCACATTGGAATCATCTGGGAAGCTCAAAAAATACTGGCACCTGGCTCCCAGCCTAGAGATTCTGATGTCTTGGGATGAAGTCTGGTGATTCTAGCATGCAGCCAAGATTGAGAACCACTGGTGTAGATCCAGAATTCTCAGACTCTCATCTAAGGAACTCTAGCCCTGACCGAGGTGCTGCCATACTGGACGCCGTGGTCAAAGAGGTTGGGGGTTCCTTACACATTTTCTCTCTCATGCTCATCTCCTCTCATCTCAGGAGACTCACAGGGCACAGTTAGCATATTAAAAGCCCTCCCGATTCCCGTGCTGAAGACCTTGTGTAACCTTTTATAATCCAATGTTTCCTCCATTTATTTGATCCGGAAATGTTTTGGGGAGATGACACCTGTTATGGGTTGAATTGTATCCCCTAAAGAGATACATTGAAGGCTCGACCCCCAGTACCTCAGAATGTGACCGAGTTTGGAAACAGGGCTTTTGCAGATGTAATTCATTAAGATGAGGTCATCACGGAGTAGGGTGGGCCCTTAATCCAATGACTAGTGTCCTTATAGGAAGAGGAAAAGGGACAGAGACAGCCATACTGGGGAGAAGGCCGTGTGACAACAGAGGCAGAGATTAGAGTGATGCATCGTCTGTGAGGCAAGGAAGGCTAAGGATTGCCGGCAAATGCTGGAAACTAGAAGAGAGGATTCCTCTGGCAAGCCTTCCGAAGGAGCAGGGCCCCTTTGACACCTTGATTTCAGACTTCAGTCCCCCAGAACTGTGAGACAATAAACTTCTGTCGTCTTAAGCCACTCAGTTTGTGGTGCTGTGTTCCGGCAACCCCAGCAAATTAATATGACGCTGTGGGGGACTGGAATTGGCCACCCCAAGATACGTCTCTTTGGCATGAGGATTATTTGAGGCTGATTGTTTTTGAGAAACTGGGACAGGGAAGGAGGCTCTGAGGAGTGGAACATTTACATTTAGGAGACATTTACATTGTAAAGGAACTCTCCATCTGTAAAGATATCCCCCTCTCTGTACCAGGAAGAAGGAGTGATGACCTTCCCTCTAGAAACTCTTAATCAATGCCAAAGGCAAGGACTTAAATCTGCATTTTATTGTGCTTGTCTGGTAACCTCCTGTGACTGACTTCCCTCCCCCTCCCAACGTTGGCATTTCCTTAAGGATTAAGCATCTTTCCTTAGGCTAGGAACTGATTGCTGCGCTCACCTGTGACCACCCAGCTCAAGACAATAGGCTTGCCTCCTGCTTAGCCCTCTGAGACAGCAGACCCACTACCTGCTGTGTCCATCAAGTGCTGTGCGGACAGGACAATCTTGTGACTATTGTGGGAGGGACATTTCAATCATATGTGAAACACCCTGTTTGGGGGTATATAACCACTCTGTGCACCCCACTTCTTCGGTGCCCTTTCTTCCTTCGGGAAGAGAGGCCCCGGGCCATGGTTCCTCATAAAGCTTTGTTTAATTTTCTCTTGCTATTCGGTCTCATGTGAATTTAATTCGTTCTCTGGCCAGATGAACCCACATTAGATTGAGGAAAAGCCTTCCTCCCCTACAACGCCCCTTAGCATCTCTTGGACACAGTTTGAGAAACCCTGAACTAGAATCATTCAAAGGCAACCCCTCACCGACCAAGGAGATGAAATAGTCTGTAAAGGAGAGTTTTTTCCCCCTGAACTCCAAGGAGGATTTGTTTTATTTCTAGGAGGAAATACATTTGAACAAACAGTCCATGACAGGAGTGGCAATTGTGTGTATGTATGCATGTATATGTTTTTCTTATTTTTTTTTTTTTACTTGCCAGGCGTGGGGATCTTCTATGGACACAGAAAAACATTGACCTGGAGAGATTATAGCATCACTGGTAAGTGTAGGCGGAGGTCAAGGCCCTCCCCCTCTACGGATGGCCGTGTGGAGAGGAGCAGCTTAAACCTGGGGTGCAGCTGGTGCAGGTGGAGGGCGCCGGGCCTCTGACGGCACCTTGGGCTGCTCACTGCTGCGTCCAGGCTCCTGTCTTCTACATTTAATGCCCAGGAAACTGAGTATTTTCATCAGCAGTAAATCGGCGATCTCTCCTTCCTCCGTCAGCTGCAGAGGGAGAAAGACCCATGTGATATTACATACGTTACATACCATCCTCTTTGGGGCTTTTCTTTCTAAGGGGAAACCCTGGTTTTATTGTCCAATTTGGTCCTGCCACAGGCACTTCATTGTTTAGAGTTGCTTTTGTGTTGGGATTCACCTTCTTCTGAGAATCCCAAGGGTGTGTGCTGCGGCCTTAACCCCCAGGGGCTTCCTTCTTCCCCTCTGATGAGAATGCCGGAATGCCCTCCACCGCCCCCAACAGAGGCTGTTAGGAATTTATGTACAAAGACCCTCATGCGTTGCTACTGGGCACGTGAAATGGTGTGGCTGCTTTGGAAAACAGTTGGATGGTTCCTCAAAATTTAAAGCAAAATTACCATATGACTGGTTGAAATAAATTTCTAGGCCCAAGATGGAGCCACTCCTGTCCTGGGTGCCATGTCAGCAAACTGAAACTTAGGTAACTTGTGTCCCTGGTAAATGCTCCCCTTTACTAGAAATGCAGTATATCCTATCAGCCAGTCCGCAAACACCAAGCTGACTCTGCGCTCTATTCTTATCTCCGTTTCCTTCTCACACCAAAGGTGACTGTGTGGCCGCAGCCAATCAGATATTTTCTATTTTTCTCTTCCTTGTTCTTTATCCTATTATAAAAGTTTCCTGCCTTCCACCCCATTTTGCAGTTTTCTGAATGGAGACTGTCTACTTTATGTAGTGCAAAAGCTTATTTGAATCACCTAAATTGTCTTCTTTAATCATTTTTTTGTTTTGGGGGTCTTTTTTTTTGGTGAGGAAGATTGACCCTGAGCTAACACCTGTTGCTAATCTTCCTCTTTTTGCTTGAGGAAGAGTGGCCCTGAGCCAACATCTGTGCCCATCTTCCTCAATGTTTTTTTTTTTGTATGTGGGATGCCGCCATGGCATGACCTGATGGGCGGTATAAGTCCACACCCAGGATCCGAACCTGCAAACCCCAGGCCGCCAAAGCGGAGCACGCCGAACTTAACCACTGTGCCACCGGGCTGGCCCCATTTAATTACTTTTTTTTTTAACACGTTCTCAACCTTGGCTGTATATTAAAATCTCTTGGGGAGGGCCGGCCCAGTGGCGCAGCAGTTAAGTGCACACGTTCCGCCTTGGTGGCCCGGGTTCGCTGGTTCAGATCCCAGGTGTGGACATGGCACCACTTGGCAATCCATGCTGTGGTAGGCATCCCACGTATAAAGTAGAGGAAGATGGGCATGGATGTTAGCTCAGGGCCAGTCTTCCTCAGCAAAAAGAGGAGGATTGGCAGCAGTTAGCTCAGGGCTAATCTTCCTCAAAAAAAAAAATCTCTTGGGGAGGGGCCGGCACCGTGACTGTGTGGTTAAAGTTCCACAAGCTCTGCTTTGGTGGGCTGGGTTCATGGGTTTGGATCCCAGACGTGGACTATTCCACTCATCAGCTGTGCTGTGGAGGCAACCCACATACAAAAAATAGAGGAAGATTGGCACAGATGTTAGCTCAGGGCGAATCTTCCTCACCAAAAAAAAAAAAAAAAAAATCTCACAGGGAGATTTCAAAAATTCCAATGCTTGGATCATTGACCCAGGGATTCTGTTTTTATTGGTCTCAGCTGCAGCAACAGTGGTTCCCAAAAGCCCCAGGTGATCCTAGTGCACAGTCAGGGCTGAGAGTCACTGGTGGAATGAACACAGCCCCATGCTGGGGATCAGGTGACCCGATTCTAGTCTGCCCTTCATTTGCCTGTGATCTTGGGGAAGTAATTTCCTCCTTCTGGGCCTCAGTTTCCCCTCCTGTGAAATGAGGGCTTGACCTACAGTGGTCTCTGAAATCTTCCTAACGTATGAAGCTGCTCAACCAGCCTCTTCCTAGTTCAAGGTCAATGACTGTTGAAGACCAGGCCAAAGGGACTCACCTGATAGTATTCTTGCTCCTCATTGAAGGCCACCAGGATGACAGAGATAAAGAGATTCAGCACCACAAATGTCATGAAAACGATGCAGGACCCAATCAGGAAGGAGCCGAGCACTGGGCTGTAGTCCAGGATCTGCCAGGAGGAAAGCCAGAGTTGTCCCCCGGGGTCCCGTGTCCTAGTGGCCATCAGAGGGCAACTGGTCCCCTACTAGGCACCATCAGAGGGCAACTGGTCCTGAAAGCTAGGCAGAGCCTGGAGCCAGGAAGGTCCCCTTCTGCCTGGGGGCTGAGAGTATGGACCTGCTCTCCAGAGCTGCCAGGGGAGGGAAAGGGCCCCCAGAGCTGCCATCTCCAAATATGGGCACCATTTCTGGCTAGGGCCAGGCGCATTCCCTTCTGGAGACCCCCCAGCGCATCCCTCCTCTGGACAGCCAGTGCCTGATGTTCTTCTGTAAGCAGGGGTCCCCAGGGCGAGCTGTGGGCAGTAGTGCGGGGCTGTCAGCCTGGAGAAAGGGGGACCTTTTTATTTGTCCAAAGTTGCCCCACTCTTGCCAGGCCATGGACCCAAGGGGTGACATGCACTGGGGAGGCATTTGAGGGGGGTACTTTTTTTTTTTTTTTTGAGGAAGACTAGCCCTGAGCTAACATCTGCCACCAATCCTCCTCTTTTTGCTGAGGAAGACTGGCCCTGAGCTAACAATCTGTGCCCATCTTCCTCTATATGTGGGACGCCTGCCACAGCATGGCTTGCCAAGCAGTGCCATGTCCGCACCCAGGATCTGAACCAGTGAACCCCAGGCCGCCAAAGTGGAACATGCACACTTAACCACTGCGCCACGAGGCAAGCCCCAAGGAGGGGCACTCTTTCTAATTTTCATAAGGCTTGATGTAGATGGCCGTGTTCACATCCTCCCGCCCCACCCCATTACCTCCTCATAGTTGAAGATTCCTAGCTGAAGGCTGATCATCGTTTCTGCCGCATCAAAGAGGGTTTTGTAGGAACGAAGTTTCCAACCGAATATTAAGTTTGACTGTTACGGAAAAAGTCCTCATGAACAGGGAAAGAAGCTGTGCAACCCCCCAGAGCCTGCTGTTTGAGAGCAGAGTTGGTGGTCGGGGTCAGCCACATCCCGGCCTGGCAAAGCTGTCTGTACCTACAGGGTCCCGCAGGTGGGTACGTGTACACACCCAGTTCTGTACGTGATACGTGTGCACTTCCGGGGCTCCCACCCGCTGGGAAACTGCTGCGTTCACCCAGATGGCTGCTCCAAGACTCAATAATGCAACTGGGCTCTCTGGGGCCCCAGCCTCTTTGCTCTGGGGGAGGTGGGTTGGACAGACAACAGAGTTCTTCTCCCTGAGCAGGGCCTCCCCCCACTGTATTTCCCTCCCACCAAGATTTCCCCAGGGCTGTTGTGTCAGAGAGAAGCCCAGGACTCCATTGGCTCTGACATGGGGACTTCTGGTCCCAGAGGACACTGCAATGTCCCTGCTGTCCATGCACTATAGACAGAGGACTGAATAAATCCACATGAATTAAGAGGTCGGATGGGGTACTTGCGACAAAACCAGACTCCAGCCTTTCAGTGTATACCCTCCATCACTCCATCAGTGCTCCTGAGCCCATTTCTGAGGGTGAGAGAGGAAGATGCAGTGGGCTCCGGGTTCGGGTTAGGGGTCAGGATTGAGGTGCTAGTCAGGGAGAGAGAATGGATCAGGAATGGGGAGAGGGTTGGAGTTGGAGTGGCACTAGGCTGAGACGAGCTACCGGACGATATGGAGATCATGGGGATGGTGGAAGGTGAGAGACCGGATGGGGCCAGGAGGAGGACTGGGAAAGGGGATGGAGCCAGGAGTGGGTCAGGATGGGGAGAAGGGTCACAGAGGAATGGAAGCCAGGGTTATGATGGGAATCATGCACTTGGAGAAGAGGGCGACATATTTAGGATGTGGCAGAGGGTCTTTGTTTCTCACGTTACTTGAAAATAAAGAAGAGTTGATAGCTCAAATTTCTTTTTAGTCACAAAAGAGGTGTGATTGTCAAATGGCTCTCACTGTTAAAGGGCTGAATGAAATGGTTTTGGTCCTACTGAGTTCATGCCTCGTGTAGGGCATCTAGCACTGACATAGCCTGCAGACGTGTCCATCCTCACTTCCCCATCTCTGCCCCAGCTCAAGGACGGGAACTGCCCAGTTCTTCTCCGCATCCCCTGACACAGAGGGAGTGCTCTGTGTGGATCTGAGCCTTTGGGATGTCTGGAGAACTGGCACATCCAGGCAGAGGCTGGATGCAGAAAGGAATCCTTTGTTGGCGGTAGTTGCCCTTTCAGCCTTAGAGAGTATATCTCCTCACTCTTACCCAAGTGAGTCTCCAGCCTTTGCCATTTGGGGTGACTGGTTCATGAGCCCCCAGCTAAAAGGCCCTGGACTCAGGAGATCCACCATCTCCCTCAGGTTCCCAGGGTCTTCCTAACCCTAACTCCCGACCCCCGACCACTGAGAAGCCTTTGCTTCCAAGGAGACCAGCCCTGAAGCTTTTGCCCAAGGAGCCACTCACCGTGATGGAGTAAGCCAGGAGCATGATAAAGATGACGATGATAAAGCCTGAAATGTCCCCCCAGGCACGGCGCAGGGCTGACGTGATCATGTTCATTTTGGGGTTCAACCTGAGCAGATGCCAAAGCTTCACGGTGGACAGGAGTACCAGGAAGGCAATGATGTAGCCAAGGGCAGCGTCAGCCGCTGCTGTCTCGCTGAAACTGATGCCCCTGTGGGACCAAAAGGGGAGCCTGAATCTCAGAGACTGTGAGCAGCTCAGCTAGAGCTCATCTGGGCTCAGTTCAGCTCAGGATGCAAGATTAG